TTAAATGTAATTAATTTCTTTGAAGTATAATTAAAAATGGATAAAATGCCAGCTTTTATATAGATTTCACCATAATAAAAATCCCCAGAAATTTATTTTCTCATAGTTCTGGAGGCCAGAAGTCTGAAATCAAGGTGTTATCAGGGTTAGTTTTTTTTTTTTTCCTTAGGAGACTGTGAGAATCTGTTCTTGCCTGTCCTAGCTTTTGGTGGTGCTAGCAATCATCTTGCAGTTCCTTGGCTTGTAGATGTATGGCTCCAATATCTGCCTCTGTCTTCCAGTTCTCCACTCTGTCTCTCTATATCCAACTGTACCCCTTATAAGGACACCGGTCAGGTTGGATTAGGGCCCACTCTTACCCAGTATGACATCATCTTAACTTGATTACATCTGCAAAGATCCTAATTCCAAGTAAGATCACATTCACAGGGGGATGTCATTCAACCCACCATAAAGCCACCATCATGGATAAAACGGGGGAGGGGGAAGTACATAGAGTCAGAAGGGCAATGACAACAAAAAGATCCCCGGAAAAACCAATGTTTATAAGGGGACAGGCAGAGGGAGAGGAAGTCAAGATGCAGACTGAGAAGGAATGGTTAGAGAGGAAGGAAGAAATCCAGGAGAGTGTTGTGTACCATTGCACCCAAGGAGTAAGAACTTCAAGAGGGAGGTGGTGGTCAGTGGTATTCAATGTAGCAGAAAGGTCAAGGAAGATAAAGATCAAGAAGTGGCCATTGGATTTGGCAATATGAAAATCATTGGTGCTCTTTCTTGGTTGAAACAGTTGCATTATAGTGCTTGGGTAAGAAGCCAAATTCCAATGTGTTATGACTCTCAGTTAGTTAGGTGTGACTCCAAACTGAGGCAGCAATCTATGGGCAAAGCCGTCTTTTCCTCTTTTGCTTTTCTTTTGATCCAGTACCCAGATTCTGTTATTAACATTTCAGTATACTTGTTTTTATTACATATCTTGATCCATTTTATGTTTTGGATGCATTTCAAGGTTAATTGCAGGCATCAGGGTACTTTTTCCTACTTTAACATGCATACCATTAATTAAATTTCAATATTTCATTTGTTTCTTTTGAAATAAAATTTACATACAAAGAAATGCACAAATCTTAAGTTGTACATTTAGTGAGTTTTTATTTTTATTTTTATTTTTATTTTTTTTTTAAAGAAAGGGGAAGGGAGGGAGAAAGAGAAGGAAAGAAATATAGATGTGAGAGATACAACTATTGGTTGCCTCTTGCACACCCCCAACCGGGGACCTGGCCTGCAACCCAGGCATGTGCCCTGACTGGGATTTGAACCGGCATCCTTTCAGTTCACAGGCTGGCACTCAGTCCACTGAGCTACACCAGCCAGGGCCATTTGGTGAGTTTTGACAGGTGCATATGCTTGTGTAACCCAAATCCCTGTCAAGGTATAGAACATTATCATCACCCTAGAAAGTTCCCTTGTGCCCCTTCCCCAGCAATCCCCACTTCCACTTTCCAGAAGCAACCACTGCTCTGATGTTTTCCACCATAGATTAGTTTTGCCCACTCCAGAACTTCATATGAATAAAATCACACCGCTTATACAGTTATGGCTGGCTGCTTTGGCTCAGCATGCTTTTGAAATTCATACATATATGAATTCATACATGGATTAATACATCTAGTAGTTCACTCTTTTCTATTATTGAGTAGTATCCCATTGTATGAATATACCACAGTATTAATCCAACTGGTCACTTGGGGGTTTTTTTTGTTTTTTTTTTTTTTAATTCTTAGATGCCCATCTCACAAATGGGGCAAAGCTGTGAAAAGCTACTTATTAAATAAGAGGAACTTCAGAAAAAAAGAGGAACCTTACTGAGTCCTGGTATATATCTTAAAGCAGCTCTTAAAGGGTGGTCTGTGGACCATAAGCATTAGCATTACCTCATAAAGTTACAGAAATACAGATTCTTGGGCCTCACTACAGAATCAGAAAATCTGTACTGGAGTCCAGCAATCTGTTTTAACAAGCTCTGCAGGAGGTTCTGCAGAACATTGAGGCATCCCTGTCTTAAAGAATGAATTGAGTGAAGTTATCTTGGAGTGCATTCCAGGAAGAGGAGGTTGCTGTGACCCTAAGCTGAGAGAACACAAATTAGCAATGATGGACATAAGAGGTTAAAAATAAAACGTTTAAAGCAGGAAGTGACAGGAGTTAAGGCAGAGAGGTCAGCAGTTCCTGGCTGTTTTGGAATGCCAAGCTGAGGAGCTTAAACTTCATTCTGTAGGCCACAGCAAGCCAGTAAAGATTTTTTTTGTTAACTGTTTCATTGAGGTACATACTTGAGGTACATTGAGGTACAACTATATATTGAGTATAGTTGACATACTATATATTCACCCTTTTAACATGTACAATTTAATAACTTTTAGTGTAGTCACAGAGTTGTACACTCATCACTACAATTAGTTTTAGAACATTTTTATCACCCCAAAAAAGGAATTCCTTACCCTTTAGCCATCACTATCCCCAGTGCCTGGATCCCCTACCCTCAGCTCCTGGCAACCACTAACCTACTTCCTTTCTTGGTCAATTTGCTTATTCTAGATATTTCACACAAACCAAATCATAAAATGTGTGGCCTTTTGTGGTTGGCTTATTATTTCATGTAGCAAAATGTTTTGAAGTTGTAGCATAAATCAGTATTTTATTCCCTGTTAATGGCTGCAAAACATTCCACCAAATGGATATATCACTTTTATCATTCATCAGTTGATGGATATTTGTGTTATTTCCTCTTTTGGCTTGATGAATAATACTGCTATGAACATTCATATACAAGATTTTCTGTGGATTTTACCAGAGTTTTCATTTCTCCTGTGTTTGTACCTGGGAGTAGAATTCCTAGGTCTATATGTAACTTTATATGTAATTTGTTGAGGAACTGACAGGCTGATTTCCAAAGCAGCTGCACCATTTTACTTTCCCACCAACAGTGTTTTGAGAGTTCCAGTTCAACGCTTGGTATTTTCTCACTTTTTGATTTGGGCCATCTTAGTGGGTATGAAGTGGAATCTCATCGTGGTCTTAGTTTGCATTTCTCTGATGAGTAATGATGTTGAGCATCTTTTCATGCACTTATTGGCCATTTGAATATTTTCTTTAGAGAAATGTCTCTTCACAGCCTTCGTGCATTTTTAGTTGGTTGACTTTTAATTATTGCATTTTAAGAGTTCTTTATATTTTCTAGGTACAAATCCTTTATCAGATACATGATTTTCTCCCATTTCTTGGGTTGTCTTTCTACCTTCCTGATGATATCCTTTGAAGTACAAAAGTTTTTTTAAAGATTTTATTTATTTTTAGAGAGAGAGAAAAGGAAGGAGAAATAGAGAGAGAAAAACATCAATGTATGGTTGCCTCTTGCATGCCCCTTGCTGGAGACCTGGCCTGCAACCCAGGCATGTGCCCTGACTGGGAATCGAACCAGTGACCCTTTAATTTGCAGGCCCGTGCTCAATCCACTGAGCTACACCAGCCAGATGAAGTACAAAAGTTTTTAATATTAATGAAGCCCAATTTATTTTTTCCTTTGGTTGCTCGTGTGATTGGCATATCTAAGAAGCCATCGCCAAATCCAAGGTTATGAAGATCTGTGCTTTTATTTCCTTCTAATAGTTTTTGTAAGTTTAGTTCTCATATTAGGTCCTTGGCCCATTTTGAATTAAAATTTTGTATAAAGTGTGAGGAAGAGGGCCTATTCATTCTTTTGTACATGGATATTCAGTTAAAAAGACTATTTTTTTTCTCAGTGAATTGTTTTGGCATCTTTTTGAAATCAATTGACCTTAAACTACCGAAGAATTTTAAGCAGAGGAGTGACATGATTCCTCCTATATTTTAAGACAATAGTGTTGGCCGCTTTGTAGAGAGTGTATTGGAAGGATCAAGAGTGGATGTAGAGAGACCAGTGAGTAGGAAGTTGCAGTTTCTAGGCCAGAGATGATCATGACTTGGACCACAGTAGTGGTAGAGATATAGAGAAAGACACAGGTTATACTCGGGAAATAAAGTTAATTGGACTTGGGGACTGTCTGACTGGAGGGGTAAAAAGGGGAGAGGTCAAGGATGACTCATACTTGGGTTGCAATCAAAGATAATCTTCAGATTTCCAGCTTGTTTGGCTAAGTGGATGGTATGTTTTTAGAGGGGAAATAATAATTTTAATTTGGGGTTAATTGAATTTGAGGTGCCTGTGAGACTTTCAAGTGGAGGAGTCCAGAAGGCAGTTGGAATATGGATCTAGACTAGAGCTTGGGGTAAGACCTGAGTTGGAGAGAGTGACTTCGGAGTCATGAGCACACAGGTGTGAGTGGAAGCTCTAGGAGAACCTGAGGAGAGTAAAAAGAGTGAGAAGAGGGCCCAAGACTGAACCCTCTTAGAGGAAGAATAGGAGTCCAGGAAGGACACAGAGAAGAAATGGCCAGTGATTGGGGGTGGGGTGTGACATAAACCAGGAGGAATCTATCAGGATATGGTGGAAGGAGGGAATTTTAAGGACGGGAGTGATCAGTAGTGTCAAATGCATCACAAAAGTCCAGAAAAATAAAGCCTAAGTGCCAATATATCTTTCCTGTTTCCATGCTCCCACAAGATAGGTTGATTGGATGATTTTTTTTAAAATCACTGCGTACTTCTTAAGGGTGGCAGTTTTTTTGTGGGTTTTTTTTTAATGCTGTGGGACAAATCACCTTTGCCACATACATTTCCCACAACTAGTGCATGAAGGTGTTGCTGGCAATGTCTGGTGGATATTTGTGTCTTAAGTGATGCCAGCTTTCACTGGCATCTTCTGTGCTAATCCTCATCTTGAACTGAGGTTATTAAAAGCCTGACTGCAATTTAGATTTCAAAATGGACTCTGAAGTATTTTTAGATGGGATGTCCAATCTGTTTTCTTTCTTTCTGATCTTAATACATATGTATTTTTTTTTTTTACCTCTTTTTAAAAGATACGTGAAAGAGGCCAAAGAAGCAACTAAGAATGGAGATCTGGAAGAAGCATTTAAACTTTTCCATTTGGCAAAAGACATTTTTCCCAGTGAAAAGCTAATGAGCAGAATCCAAAAACTACAGGAAGCCTTGGAGGAGTTGGCAGATCCTGGAGATGATGAATTCACAGATGTGTGCAACTCTGGCCTGCTGCTTTATCGAGAACTGCATGACCAACTATTTGAACACCAGAAGGAAGGTGTAGCTTTCCTATACAGCCTATACAGGGATGGAAGAAAAGGTGGTATCTTGGCAGATGATATGGGATTGGGGAAGACTGTTCAAATCATCGCTTTCCTTTCTGGTATGTTTGATGCTTCACTTGTGAATCATGTGCTGCTGATTATGCCAACCAGTCTTATTAGCACATGGGTAAAAGAATTTGACAAGTGGACTCCAGGAATGAGAGTCAAAACCTTTCATGGTCCTAGTAAGGATGAACGTACCAGAAACCTCAGTCGGATTCAGCAAAGGAATGGTGTCATTATCACTACATACCAAATGTTAATCAATAATTGGCAGCAACTTTCAACCTTGAATGGCCAAGAGTTTTTGTGGGACTATGTCATCCTTGACGAAGCACATAAAATAAAATCTTCATCTACTAAGTCAGCAGTATGTGCTCGTGCTGTCCCTGCCAGGAACCGCATCCTCCTCACAGGAACCCCAATCCAGAATAATTTACAAGAACTGTGGTCCCTTTTTGATTTTGCTTGTCAAGGGTCCCTGCTAGGAACATTAAAAACCTTTAAAATGGAGTATGAAAATCCTATTACTAGAGCAAGAGAAAAGGATGCAACTCCAGGAGAAAAAGCCTTGGGATTTAAAATATCTGAAAACTTAATGGCAATCATAAAGCCCTATTTTCTCAGGAGGACTAAAGAAGAGGTACAGAAGAGAAAGGAAAGCAACTCAGAGGTCAGACCTTGTGAAAAGAATCCAGATGTTGATGCCATTTATGAAATGCCTTCCCTTTCCAGGAAAAATGATTTAATTATTTGGATACGTCTTGTACCTCTACAAGAAGAAATATACAGAAAATTTGTGTCCCTAGATCACATCAAGGAATTGTTAATGGAGACACGCTCACCTCTGGCTGAGTTAGGTGTCTTAAAGAAGCTGTGTGATCATCCTAGGCTGCTCTCTGCACGGGCTTGTCATTTGCTGAATCTAGGGGCTGTCAGATTCTCTGTTCAAGATGAAAATGAAGAGGAAGATTCCTCAGATGTGGACCATATTGGTGAAATATCTGATGATACACTGATGAAAGAATCTGGAAAAATGATATTTCTAATGGACCTTCTTAAGAGACTGCGAGATGAAGGGCATCAGACTCTGGTGTTTTCCCAATCAAGACAAATTCTAAACATCATCGAACGCCTCCTAAAGAATAGACACTTTAAGGTATTGCGAATCGATGGAACAATTACTCATCTTATGGAACGAGAAAAAAGAATTAGCTTATTCCAGCAAAATAAAGATTACTCTGTTTTTCTGCTTACCACTCAAGTAGGTGGTGTTGGCTTAACATTAACTGCAGCAACCAGAGTGGTCATTTTTGACCCTAGCTGGAATCCTGCAACTGATGCTCAAGCTGTGGATAGAGTTCACCGAATTGGACAAAAAGAAAATGTTGTGGTTTATAGGCTAATCACTTGTGGGACTGTAGAGGAAAAAATATACAGAAGACAGGTTTTCAAGGACTCATTAGTAAGACAAACTACTGGTGATAAGAAGAACCCTTTCCGATATTTTAGTAAACAAGAATTGAGAGAGCTATTTACAATCGAGGATTTTCAGATCTCTGCAACCCAGCTGCAGCTTCAGTCTTTGCATGCTGCTCAGAGGAGATCTGATAAGAAACTAGATGAACATATTGCCTACCTGTATTCTTTGGGGATAGCTGGAATCTCAGACCATGATTTGTTGTACACACGTGATCTCTCTGTTAAAGAAGAGCTTGATGAGTTAGAAGATTCTCACTATATACAACAAAGGGTTCAGAAAGCTCAATTCCTGGTTGAATTTGAGTCTCAAAATACAGAGCTCTTAATGGAAAGACAAAGAACTAGAAATGAGGGGATCTTGCTGAGAGAACTTGTATTTACTTCTAAAAAAAGGGAGAAACGCCCTGAAGTGAATAAACCACAACCTCAGCCTTCACTTCTTTTAACTACTCATCATACCCAGGAGGAAGAAATCTGTTCCCAAATGGCAAGTGTGATCATTGATCTGCCTGAAGAGAGTGAGAAACACTATCTTTCAAATACAAAGATGAGTGTTACCATTGGACAAGATGGTGGGCACCCACATGAAAGGACATTTGATGCTGACTTTGTAGCTTTACCCAAGGAGTGTGCAAGTGTAGAAGAAATTTGTACCAATTCTTTATTGGGAATGACTCTACAAAAAGAGGCATCACGAGAGGGGCCTACACAGGAGGTAGTGCAAGACAATACTCTGGGAAGTTTTAATTATTTGCTTAGTGAATCTGTTAGAGCTGATCTTGGGCCAAATCTAGATGAACAAAAGGATGATGAGATTTTACATCAGTGTAATCCCTGGCCTATTAATCCCATAACAAATGAAAATCAAGATACAGAATCAAATGCATCTGTTATTGAAATAACTGATGGTGACTTGTCAGCATCCCATAGTGCACTGCAGGATGCTCAAGCAAAGGAGACCAAGTTGCAAGAGGAACCTTTAGCATCTTCATTACAGTATATGTGCGATTTCAATCTCTTCTTGGAAGATTCTGCAGACAATGGACAAAATCTTGCTAGTCAGTCTTTGGAGCATGTTGAGAAAGAAAATAGCTTGTGTGGCTCTGAGGCAAATTCTAGAGCAGAGTTTGTGCATAGCAAAGCAGGGCTGAGTATGGATCTTTCTGAGGAAGATGATGAGTCAGAAGTAGTAAATGTAAAGGTTAGAAGTAAAACAAGAAGGATCGTTTCAGATGGTGAAGATGAACATGATACTTTTAAAGATACTTCTAGCACAGATCCATTCAACACATCTCCCCTTCAGTTCTTACCTATAAAACAGTTTGATGCTTCAACCCCCAAAAGTGGCACCAGTCCATCTGAAAGGTTCTTTTCACCTAAAATAGCTAATAGTATAAATAAGTCTATAAACTCTAGAAGATCCCTGGCTTCTAGGAGGTCTCTTATTAATGTGGTTTTAGACCACGTGGAGGATATGGAGGAAAAACTTGAAACCAGCAGTGAAGCAAAGGTAGCTGAAGATTATCTGGAGGAAAGAACTGAGGAAAGCAGTGGTGAAGACTCGGACTGTACAGAAGAGGAACCTTCCGGAGAAACCCTGTCTCCAGAAAGTAAGTCCAGCTGCATAACTACACCTAAGTCTGGTGCTCTAGCTCAGGAGACCTCTCCTGGTGACCCTGGGCTTTTGTCTGGTGGACAGTTGGTGGATTCTCCTCAGGATAAGGATAAGGCAGGAGAGGCTGCAAATGACTATGAGACTCTTGTAATGCGTGGAAAAGCATTGAAAGAGTGTGGAAAAATACAGGAGGCCTTAAACTGCTTAGTGAAGGCACTTGACATAAAAAGTGCAGATCCTGAAGTCATGCTCATGACTTTAAGTTTGTATAAGCAACTTAATACAACTTGAGAATAACCTGTGTATTGTATTCCAAAACAAAACAGTATGAGGTAATTTGTTGTAGTTGGAGTCTTTGGGATCATGAAGCATTCAGGCTTAAGGTGAGAGAGATCTCAAAAGGCAAGTTTTGTTCCTAACTGTTTTGTAAATTCTGCCTTTACCCACTGTTTCTGCGCCCCCCCCCCATACATATGTTCTGATATTGTTTTAGGCATGCGCTATAAATCTAATAGAATGTTATTTTTAGAAAATTTTTCTGTGAAATTACTCTAGCCATTTTAAAATGTATTCTGAAAATGATCACTTTTGTATATCACAGTTCAGATACGATTATTAAAGTTACTTTTCTCAAGTGTTTTTCATTCACTTTCTTTCACTGAGATGATACAGACAAATGCTTATAGAAACTCCTTAGTTGAGGCAGGGCATTGTTATTAGTATTCCAAATCTAAGATCTGCTCTTTTATGCTGTCAGCTTACTATAGCATAAGGCTGGGTGCTAGGCTTTGTCACTGGTACCGTACCCTAGAGTCACTTTGCCAACCACTTAGCCATTCTTCCGTCACCACCATGTTCTGACATATGCTAGCACATTCCATCTTTGGGTTATAGACTGAAAAGGAATGTGGTTCCTTCTCAGGAACAAAGTGCAATGGAGCAGTGGTTCCTTCTCAGGAACAAAGTGCAATGTAGCACACTCTGCACTTGGTCACTTGAGCAGGAATACTAGCATTCATCAAGTACCTACTGTGTATTGGGTACTGTATATAGGTTTCTTGTTTAATCCTTAGCATAATCTTTTGAGGTCAAGGATGGCATTTCCATTTTTTTAGTTGAGGAAACTAAGACTCAGCGAGGCTGTGGCTTGTCCAAGATCACATAGTAAGGGATGAAATGGATTTTTAACTGTGTGTTACCTAGTGAACAGCATGCCTTAACTATATATTATAGCCACCATAATGTGACCTGTTTTTACTCACATCTGGCATCAAATATATAGGAGTTTTCACTCCAAGCAGTTCTCCAGTTCTCTGCAGATAGTCAACTGGGTGTCCTACCATTCAACTCAGTTCTGACACAGGATCCACAGGTGTCAGGGTGCATTCCCATAAAACTGCCCTTACATCAGATGCCACTTGCTGGTATTGGGTCTTCACATTATCCTCACTTGTGTCCACCTTGGCTACAAACTGAGGGCTCCCCTGACTGCCCTTCCAGGTTCAAGAATTTACTAAAATAGCTTACAGAACTATTATTACTCATTTTTATAAAGAATACAACTGTGAAACAGCCAAATGGAAGAGATGTATAGGGAAAGATACTGGGGTTGGGGTAGTGGGTGAAGAGTCCGTGCCCTCTGGAATTGCCACACCCAGCATCTTGATGTGTTCGCCAGCCCTCAACTTTAGGGCTTATGGAAGGCTCAATACTTAGCCATGATTATTTAAGTCATTGGCTATTGTTGATTAACTCAATCTCTAGTCCTCAGAGGCCAGGGAGTGGGGCTAAAAGTTCCAACCCTCTAATTTTGTCTTGGCCTTTGTGGTGGCCAGTTTGTATGAGAAGCTATTTAGGACCCTCTGGCCACCAGTCATCAGCATACAAAAGACCACCAAGATTCCAAGGGTTTTAGGAGCTGTGTACAAGGAACAAAGACCACTTATTTTTTTATTATATCACACATACATATATGTTAGTTATAAACTATATGTATATACTGTTTAAAAAAATTCAACCAGGGAAATTTGAAAATTTAATTTGCTTTAAGTGATTCATGAATTGAGCAGGATCCCATCCTGCAAGTAGGCTGCTCAGGTTGTACAAAATGGAAGATTTTTATAGGAAGAAGGGTGGGGCAGAATTACTAGCAAAAGAAAAAAAGGGGAAGGTTTCCTGACCAGCATGGCTCAATTTGTTGGGCATCACACCACAAAGTGAAAGGTCACCAGTTTGATTCCTGAGTTTCTCTCCCTTTCTAACTCTCTTGCCCTCTCTAAACAGAAGTAAATAAAATCTTTAAACACAGGAAGGCAAGTGTTTTTATGTAGATTGCCTTTTCTTTCTCTGGGGGTGGGGAATGGAGAGGGCCCATGTGACAGGTTATGTCATTGGCATTGACCAGAAAATTCCAGACTGGTTAAGATTACATTTCTGGTAAAGGTCAAAACCTCAGTTTGGTAAGTTAATAACTCTAGGTTTGGTACCATGGGCATTAGCACAAGTGATGCCATTTTGGACCTATGGTTTGCTCTGTCAGTTCACACTACTATTCTCATATGCTGTATATTGATGTACAGGTAGAAGATTGAGAAAGATGAGCTGAAATTTAAGTAATAGGTTACTTATTGAGAATACAAAATTTTGCTTACCAAAATAAATTATTACTAATATTTTAAGGTGGGTAATGTGATTGCCTATCTATTGTTACAGAACACAAGGGGGGGCCAAAGGGCAATATACTATTACCAAAAGGAACTCGCTATGTTTGTTATGTCCACTGCCTTATAGGAAAGACATCTCTCAATGCCAGAGATTCGTGGAAAGGAAAGGAAATGTTTATTTAATGCTATACAGACTTAAAGTAGTGACCTAATGTCTTCATCAAAATCCCAAAGTCCCTTAAAACACCCATAAACACACAACAGTCCTTCCTTCCCCCCTTGTTGAGTCTGGGGTACTGTATCAGGAAAAGAAATAGAAGTCTCAGGAGGCTCAGGCAGCCCCCAGTTCTTCCTAGTATTCCATCTCGGCTGGTAGGCCTCCCTTGGTTCCCGGCACCATCAGCTGTGTTGCTGGGATCTCTGCTAAAGCTGGGTGGTAGTTCCCCCTTCTAAAGCTGCAGGGGTCCCCACTCTGACAAAGCCACATGGTTCTCTGCAGTGCCACAGCTGAGTGGTCCTCTCTCTGCACTGCCACAGCCACGTGGTCCTCTCTGCACAATGGCCACAGGAGTCCCCACTCTGGCAAAGCCACGTGGTTCCCTCCCTCTGCACTGGCCATGGTCCTCTCTCCAATGGCTGCTGAGTCCTCTGCCAAAACCGCATGGTTCACCCTACGTGGCTGCAGCCAAGTGCTTCTCTCTCCACTGCCACAGCTGCATGGCTCCCTTTCTATTGCCACAGCCACATGGTCCTCTGCACAATGGCCGAGGGAGTCTCTACTCTGCCAAAACTGCATGGTTCTTCCCCTAATGGCTGCTGTGTCTGGGTTTAAATCCCCTTTCAATCTTCCTCTGCAGCCCCATTTCTGACTTCTCCCACAATTGGCTACACTTGCTAGCACTCCCATATCCTTCCAGCTGTACTGGGCTGCCATAGTGACTCTGGGTAGGTGTGGCCCCATGTCATGGAGCCAATCTTCTCCAAGTTGTCAGGCAGGCGCTGTAACTCAGGGGACCTGCCCCCAGTTATGTCTTGGTGGGGAAGTCACTTACATGCCCCTGGCTCAGAGTGTGGCCACAGCTATTTAACATATCTATGCAACCAGTTAAATGTTATAGATATGTTAAATGACCATGCCAGAGGCTAGCTGCAAAGCTGTTGCTATTCAAAACAGCTCTCAATGGCCCTGCTCCATGTGTCCCTTCCCCCAACCCACACCTGTGAGGGGTGGGTGAGGACATCCTAATATTTCCTGGACACCTTGAGTTCTGGGCCCTATTCCAAATCTCTATTTGGGGCCCCCCTCTTGGCTGCACCCTGTAACACTATCATTAAAAAATCTTGGTGGTAACTGACTCAGCAATTCATACTCGGCATCTAAATCCAGCTCCCCCTTTCCCTATGTAGACTTTGTTTATCAGTTCCTTCCATCAAGCATAGGAATGTTTTTGGAAATCAGCTGATGTTTAAAACAAGGCCTCAGCCTCTTACAATTTATTTGCCTGCTAGGGAACTTTAGGGGCCTGTATACATTTGATTGACATTGAGGCATAAGTCCTACATGTACAGTCATGCACTGCATGTTTCATTCAATGACATACTACATATATGACATGATGTCACAGGTGGGCACAGGTAACCAGGTTCTTGATGATCAGAACAAAGAATTGAACTGAACACCCAGAGTTTATAGCAGAGAACATGGTGATAGGGGAATCAAAACTTGGAAAATTTTAGCTTAAGGTAAATAGCCATAAATCTAGCAAGTAATGTGTATGTTAAGCTTTTTGTTTCAGAAACTACAGATGAGGCCCATCTGGCGCCTGAGGGAAAAAAAAAACTGACCTTCTGGAGTGCTGGCTAAAGATACCACCTGGAGACATCCCTGCCAGGCGACTACCCCTCCCCTTGGAATTTCAAAGACTCTCACTAACTCCTGTTTGCCCTCCCCCAACCCCCTTATAAAAGATCTGGCTGGGAAAAAAGAGGAAGATGGTTTGTTAGGGTATGAACCCGCCATCTTCTCGGATCGCCGGCCATCTGAATAAAGCGCCTATAAAAGATTCAATCACTGTCATTGCTTATTGGGTTTGGTAGTGACGGGCAGCCCGAACGCCGGTGTCTTTTCTGGTTACATATTTTGGCGACTCTGCCGGGACAGACTTTGGGACTCTCCGGTAAGTTTGGGTGTTTGGCGGGGAGTCCCATTGGCTGCCTGGACTGAGGGGCTCTGGGGGCTTGGAGTCAGAGAATCCTAAGCAGCTGCCAAGTGATTTCACTTGGGGATTCTCACCCCTTGCTCCCAGCACCTCTTGTCATGCATCACACTGGATTGAATCGTTGCGCTTTCTGGTTCAGGTTGAAATCCCGGGTCACAACTTAAGTTATCTGTTCTGTTTGGGTACCATCTGTTTGGAGCTCCGTCTGGTCCGAAAGGACATCTGTTCTGGTCCCGAAAGGGCGTCTGTTTGGAGCTCCGTGGAGTTCCGTCTGGTAATATGGGGGGAACCCTCCATTCCAAAAAACAGCCCGCTGGGGTGGGTTCTGGTAAATTGATCGCCGTATGAGTATATATCGGAGGCGTATGTTGTTTTGTTGTAGTACTGTTCTGTTTGTGTCCTGTATAATTTAGACTCAGGAGAGTGCTGGTCACTGAATGGGTCTTTAAATTACTGTATTATACTGTAACTAAAGTTGTTTTGTCAAAATCAAGGAAGTAGGACAAATTGCCTTACCTAGAAGTGTTTAGGTTTACATGATAAAGATGCATGCAGAGTTAAAAAGGAAAGAGAGGAAAGTCAGTTAATAGCTCTGAGAAAAGGGAATTTACATATGAAAGATAGAAGGTCAGAGGAGAGGGGCCAAGAAGATCTAGGTATTAAGACCAGCTGCAGGCTGGTCAGAGTTCTTGCAGCCCCAGGGGATCCACTCC